AGGAGAAAAAACAGGGGGACCCATGCAAGACAAGGAACCAGACGGGCGATCAAGAAACTGTCCTATCCACGTACAACAGTGTCAAGCCCAAACTTCATCCTAAAACTACATGCGGGAATCTCCCTTTCGTGATCTGGTCCCAACCAGTCAGGCACTGTACCCAATTGCCCTAGGCCAAGGGAGGCCTAGGGCAATTCCTAAGCACAAGTGTGGTCTCACTACTTCACAAGAAAGGGGACACAGAAAATTTGAAAAACTACCGAGTCTACAGACCCATCTCACTACTCATAACCCCATACAAAATCCGAGCGAAAGCACTGGCTAACGGGATCATAAATCTCATTGATAAAGGCTTTCACATTGATCAAGCTGGTTTCATTCCAGGGCGGTACATCCTCGACAACGTGATGACCCTGAACGAGGCAGCAAAGAAGATTACAGAAAAGCGCATTGAGGCAACAATTCTCTTTCTCGATTTCGAAAAAGCCTATGACCAGGTCAATTGGGACTTTCTTCACGACTGCATGGAGAGAATGGGACTAGGCCCCAAGTTCAGGGAATGGGTCAGAAGACACCTACCCGATCTCGAGGTCCGTTCGCCAAGGAGTCTAGCCCCCTTCCTCTTCATCATCGAAGCCATAGCCTCCTTTCTTCGCAAAGACCCCTCTATAGACTGTCTCACAGAGCAGAATTATAACCCTCTGCATGACTCCGTCCTGCCCAACGCATTGGTGTTCACAGACGACCTCACTATTATCATCCGAGCTAATAACTCATTCCTCCTTTCAATCCCTCATTGGAAACGCAGATGCATACGGACAACCGAAGGAACATAAGGGACAAGCGAGGAAATGTGGACTCTACTACTGAACATGGTTGAAACCGAAATCCGGAGCACAGGCCAGAAAAGTACACGGTCAAGAGACGAGCATTTCTGAGAGACTGGCTGTTACGGGAAAAGATCGCTAGCATAACGGACAACAGGGGATGAGATGGAAGAAGTGGCACCAGTCAGGAGCCTCAAGACAATGCACCTCCAAGAAGCTCATGAGGAGGGGGCAGTATGGCAGATATTCCCCCTGAAACCCAGACAATCATAGAAAGGAAGCTGAACTCCCACGATTCTTGTTAAGCAGAGCTCCATTTGACAGGCTCCGGCGTGGTGCCTGAGAGGAACTAGTTGGGAAGGGCAAGCTGACAGTCAATCCTCCTACTGGGGAGCAATCAATGCTGGTCAGGGTTCCTCCGGCCACAGGGAAGGAAGCGTGAGTGTGTACATCATGTATCTCAATTTAGAGTCTTTGACTTGCCGGGGGAATAGGAACCGGACTGACGCTCCCTAGAATGGAAAAGGAGTCAGGTCCATAAGGACCTTGTTTACATTAAAAAAAAAAAAAAAAAAAAAAAGTTAAATAACCGGCACTGACTGAAAAGGATGTTTGCATGGTCATCGTGTGAGCAGCAGCATGTTGAGTGAGCTAATTCACCTCAAAGTAATTCTTCCCACTCAGATACGTCAACTCAAGCACGCTCCCTAAGGGAACGGGACGGCTTCCAACAGCTTGTTTCACAATCCATGAGCCCTGGCACACACCCACACACCACAGATGTCCAATGAATTGTCAAGGCTTCGGAGGAAAAAAAGGATTTCCAACTTTCCATAGCAAAGAGGCTGAAGCAGTGCAGCAGCACAGATTCCCAACAGCAGATTGTGTCTGCAGCAGCGACTCTGCGCCTTCGAGAGGTTCCAATGGGTTCGGTTGTTTGCCGATGCAAGATCTAGAATGCAGACAGCGACTGAACTGATGCTCCCCAGAATGGGTATGGAGCAGGACCCATTAGGACATGCTTTTTTTTCTTTTCTTTTTTTTTCCAAATGCAGATGGCAAATTTCATTCAAAGCCTGGATGCACTTCGTTGTTGTCAGCTCCCTCCCTCCTTGATGGCTTCCTTGCCTGCATGCATAAGTGTATATGTTCTCCCTTTCTCATTTTCTCCTTCCCTACCTCCCTCCCCCTCTTTCTGTGATAAGCATGGTCGCATTGGTGGTGGAGGAGGAGAAGGAGAAGGTGGAGGAGGAGGAGGAGAAGGAAGAGGAAGGGGAAGAAGAGGGGATACTGATACAAGCACACAACTCCAACTCTGAGGCTAGACTTGACAGGGGCAAGGAACGGGTGGTGCGAGAAGAGCATCAGCAGCGGAAATCCATGTCACACTGAATCCAATGGTTGGACCAGAGTACAGCACAAGGTCACACACAGGTATGCGTGACCAGCACATATAGCTGGGAGCAGCCTAATGGCTACTGCTCCTGAACATAACGTATATGCGTTGTAAACGAATACAACACATAGGTTGCTTTCGATTTGAATACAATGCATGTGCATTCTATTGGAATCAACATTTTTTTTTTGAAAACTCGAATACATTCAATACAACGAATATGCGTTATGTTCGGGGGCAAGACGGTAGGCTGGTCTAAGGGGTACGTCTGGAATAAGTCACTAGAACCCCGTAGGGTAGACATGGAAAACGTCGCAGAGCCAGAAATGTAGATGTGCTGGTGCTTGCTTAGACCAAATGTAGCATCTGTTCTGATCAGTTTGATATCCGATCCATGGTCCATGGAAAAAAAAGTGGCCATACCGGGAACATGCCAGAAATATAAATTCTCGGTACCTAGCATGAGGTCCAGGGAAAGAACTTCCGCTTCCTCCACCAAATCCATCCTCCCTTCCCTTCCTCCATCCCTCTTCCCCCACCCTACCTCTCTAATTCTCCCTCCCCTGCCTGCATGCACACATTCATGTGGCCTCCGTTCTTTACTCCCTTCCTCCCTCCCTTCCTCCCTCCCTTCCCCCCTCCC